CTATTACAAAAATGATATATTCTGCTTAATCGACAAAATTTAATATAATATCTGAAAATATTCATTTTTGATTTAATAAAACAGAATTATCAGTGGCCTAAAATATCTTTTTTATGAAATTTTGATTTTTTTTTAAATTTAATTAAATAATTTTTAATTATGCAGTAATTGATACATATTTTTCTCGCAAAAAACTATTAAATTATTTATGTTGAAAAGTCATTAATTTAAAAGATATTTTAATTTGATTTCTGACTCAAATTATTGTTATTATATATTGTTTTTAATTATTTAATTATTATTGTATAAAAAATTATTATTCTTTGTTTTTTATACAATAATTATTTTTATAAAATTCAAATTAATAATTTTTAATAATTTTTGCAACATAAGTAGTTTATTATCTAATTTTTGTAAAAAATAATGAGTTATGTGACTAGCGTACTAAAAATTATATATTATCATATATAATTTCATTCTAAAAGACAATAAAATTGTCTTCATATGATTTTTATGCATTAATCTACAAAAAAAAAATAATATTAAAATAAACATTTCATAAAGTCATTACTTTTAATTTTCAATTATTATTTTCATCAACTTTTAAAATACATTTTAATATTAATAAAAAAACAAGCAAGAGTTCTAGATAAAGTTATCAAATTATTTTATTTAATTATCATCCTATATATTAAATAATTATAATTTTTATTATATTATTATATTTTTATTTCTTATCATTGTATTTAAAATTATCAAAGTTAAATATTCTATTGAATTTATTACACATCAATTTAAAATTTGGTAAACGATTTTGCCTAATCTTAACCTAATCTAATCTAACTAAATATATTATTTTTTTTAATATTAGATTTTATAGTAGCTTATCATTTATTATTATTTGGATGCTGAAAATTCGATTTAAAAAAAATTAGAATATAAACTCAGATGCTGTTTCTTATTTATTATATATAATAATAAGATTGTTTAAAAAATACCATTAAATTTTTAGTCGATTCAAAGTAATTAAAAAATAAAAAGTTATAATAAAAAAACAAAAAAAAAATAATTATTTTATATGATAATAATGATGAGCTATCAATTTTATATATAATATTTTTAATTATTTTTGTTAATTCTTCTGCAATCCTTTTTTTCATTATTTTATTCTTCTTATATTTTGTTATGTTCTCTAAAATTCGAAATTTATAATTTGATTCCAATTAACTTGATATATTTGATTTATTAGATTTATATCCTGCTTTTCTTTAAATTTTGTGCTTTTTTTGAAATTAATTAATAAAATGAACTAAATAAATGAACTCTAGAACTAATAGAATTCTGAATTTAAAACTTTGTTATAAATTAATAAATAAAATTAATAAAATAAAATAATATTAATTAATATTCTACAGTCGTATTTTACAGCAAAACAAAATGATATTCAGAAATTATATTTAGCTAAATATAAAGAAATAATTTTATCATATGCAATTTTATCGTAATGAGTTTTCTTCTTATTTTTCTAAATTAATTCATATCGTTACACTTTTAAAAGAATTTTAATTAATTATTTTAATTAATTATTTTACTTATGATATATTAATATATTTGGATAGTTTATCAATTTTAAACATTTTAAATAAACAAAAAAGAATAATTAAAATATAAAAATATTATATTTATTAACTTAATATTATAATTATAATTATATTTATAATTATAATTATAAATATANAATTATAATTATATTTATATTTATAAATCGGATTATATTTATTAAATAATAAAAAATCAAATTTTGGAAGGTAAAATAGATAATAATAAACAAAAATAGATCTGTTTTATCATTTCTATCTTATTCATATATTAAAAAATTAAATTGCTTATAATTTAATAAATAAGCTTTAGCCGATATTTTTATATATTAACTTTTACATTTGTTCAATCGATTCTCAAAATATTATTTATGAATATATGAATATTAATATTTTATGTTAATATATTCATGAAACATTTTTGGAGAATTGATTCTACAGATCAAAACAAATATGAAAGTTGATATACAAAAATTAAACTTTATTTATTCAATTATAAGCAATTGAAGTTTGTATTAGATAAAATGAGACGGAAAGAAAAGAGATTGTTGTATCTCTATTACATAGTCGCATTTTATCTTTATTGTACTTTATTCTTGTTTTATTTCATCTAATGCGAACTTAAATTGATTATAACTTAAGAAATAAATCTCAATTAACATTGTTATAGATTAACTTTTATGTTCGTTTTAACTTCTAGAATCGATTCTTATTTTAAATTTTGTTTTTTAATAAAAAAAAAGTTAAATGTTATTTTTTAAATATATATTTTATAAAATTTTTATAATAAAAAAATAAAATATATATTTTATAAAATATATATTTTATTTTAAATCAATTTTATGACATTATTGGTGCACACGTCAATTATTTACAAAAATGATGCAATGTATAGACAGAATGTTTGTATATTCAATTGGATTAACTTGAGTAAATAAGTTTGTCTTATTCGAAACAATCGGCTATCGGTTATAAAAGAAAAATATATCTCTAATAGTTATGGCCATAATACTATTAGGAATTCCGAAGAAAAATGTTAATAATCTAATAACGTTGCAACACGGATAAAGATATAATTAAATTTATATCGTTCAGCGCTGACTTCATTAAAGAAGGAAGTTGGGATTTTTTAAATTGTTATTCCTTGTAATACTTCCTCTTCTATAGGGAAAGTACGATGACGCGTAATGAAATTGTCTTCATGGTTGCGGATATGAAATCCAATACGACAGGGGAAATGGTTCTATTTTTGTGTTCAAACATAAGGATGTGGCAGTAGGAAGGATATCGAATCAAGAAGAGTGCTTGTGGAATTTATTGGTATACAGGTTGTTTGAGAAATTGGTTTTGTCGACAAAGATATTTTATTTGGACAAAAGAGAGTGATGTAAAATTCGCTACGACAGATTTTTAAAAAAGTCATTGAATATTATTTGTTGTAAATATGATATCATATTAAAAATAAATAATATAATTTGAGTTTTACATAAAGATATACGATTATACAGATAGAGCATAATGCACAAAGCAATTTTTGAAATTCTCAAAGTTTTATTTTTTCATATTTTTAATAATTTTTATAAGATATTTTTTAAAGTATGTATATGTGTGAGAAAGAAAGGAAGATATATATAAATATTTTAATATTTTAAAATACAAAATTCTCTTTTAAAATAATATTGAAATATTGAAATTTTAGAAATTAATTTCTTAATTACTTCAATATAATATTTTGTTAAAAATATTTATATACATATAATCTATTATGTTCTACATATAATATTTAATATATTCGTTATATATTTTGTTCGAAAAATTTTGTTAATTTAATTCATGTATGTTGAATATTTTTGTGATTAACTGTACATTATAGAAAATAATATCTCGATAATAAATAATATCACATATATATTTTAATATTGTAGAAAATAGAAAATCAAAAGTTATAAGATTAAAAACGTGACTTTAATTTTTCAGATCTCATATACAAAAAAATATTTTCTGCAAAATTAATTTTAAGTTCCACAGAGATTTTGAAATTTTTATTTTTTAGTTAGGCAATATATTTGTAATAATAATAATAATAAACTTAATAATGTGATTTCTTTGCAAATTTTGTAAAATTAAAATAAGATATTTAGCTTATTAAATATATAGACTATTTTTTAAGATAAATACAATTAGTTGCTAATAATAAAAATTCATATTTTTATTTAAGAAATTAAATATCTCTAATTTTTATCGATTCTTTAGCTTGAATAACATTTTTATCTTCAATTCAAAATGTGTATAACTAACAACTTAAAATATTTTTTTTATTGTAAACTGTAAACATAAAATGTTTTTTCATGTTGTTATGTTTTGTTTGATAATTTAAAGATATATTAATTTGTAATTAATATGATTATTTTGCCAATGAGATAGAATTTATTTTCAATTGAATAATAATAATTCAAAAATATAAAAACAATTAAAAAATAAAAAAAGTTATACGTTATTCTTATTAATTTATATAAAAAATGTTATATATTATAATTATAATTATATTATAATTTATATATATATATAAATTAAAAGT